TTTTTTTTTTTTTTTTTTTTTATGAAAAGCCCACAAAATCGTTGTTTTGGCATGAGTCTGGGAGGCACTGACCACACGGGTGCTGATCGTCTAGCTCTATAGCAGAGCTCTTATTTCTGTATTTGTATTTCCTGAGATGCTTTGGGCACTTAGTTTATTGAAACTATTATAGACAAGTAGGTTAGCAGAAATGTTATAGGGAGCCAGACAGGGCTAGGCCCTCGAGGGAGTCAATGCAGAAGATAAGAATAATTATATAGGGGCTGGGGAGATGGCTCAGTGGAATAAGTGCTTCCCCAGCAAGCACAAGGGCCTGAGTTCAATCCCCGGTTCCGCAAAAAAAAAAAAAAAGAATAGTTATAACTGTGGCTGGAGGCACATCTGTCAGAGATCAGGCCTCAAGATAAAGATAAGATGACCAGGCCTTACATGCCTCCCCAAGAGATACGCAAGAAATTAAACATTATACTAAATAAATAAACATTACACTGTCTATAAGCTACTGAGAGGGGAGAGGCCCAAGGGACATTTTTGTGGGTGAGGTCCCAAGATTGAAGAATGTACCTGAGCAAGACATCAGCAACAGCAGGCCACATGGAGCAGAGCACAAGAGCACCACAACTGGAGTCACCTGCATCTTTGTTGTATAACCCTTACACAGGTTGTTATGTCAAGCTTATGTTCTTACATAGTGCCATAGCCAGCGCGTGCATGTTTACCTATGCTAAGTCATAGTTACATGACTGTATCCCACAATGCATCTGTGCTAGACAAGCAGGGTAACATCCTCAGGTGTCCTTGGATGCCCCTGAACTCTGAAGCAGTCTGAGTGGTTCCCTATAGTATTATCTGGTCCAATAAAGTCTAGTTAGACATCAGTTACCCAGGTGGGTGACCAAGACCTCCTGATTTATTCCTTCTTAAAAAGGTCCTTGTTGTTTCCACATACACTTGTTACATGACCTGCTTCCCCTCTGGATCGGCATTACCTGTGGCGGGCAATTTGTAACACCCAACTGAACTCAATCAGCATGGTGCTGGGCATGGAAAGCCCACCTGAAGGTTGTTGCCAACAGCATAAAAAGAGAACTGGAAGAGAAAAATAGTATGTTGTTCATTCTCTTTGAGAAGACTCTGATGCTGGTTTTCCTGAATAACATGAGCTGTTCTCATTGCTGGAGGCGCTTAGGTCCTCACTGTTGCTGAGGATGGCTGCAGTTCTCTTCAAGGGAACTCTGGTCCTTACCTTGAGTGTTACCTCCTGGCTCCAGTGCAGATCCCTCAGCCTACTAGCACAGATCCTTTATCCCGCTGGTATAGACTTTGTAGCTTCCACCACTGACCTTTGGGCCTTTCCAGTGCAGATTCTTGATACAGACTTGCATGAGGCATTGTCGTGGGCTCTAGGCCTCCAGCTGGACTCATGGAGGACACAACCATGGCTCCAGATCTTCAGCTGGATTCATACAGAACATTGCTGTAGGATCTAGACCCTCAGCTGGATTCTTTGGGTCTCTAGTGCATGGACAGATCTCTTCCACTCTTCTGCATTTGACTTGTTGGGTAAATATTATAAAGTAGTCCTATAAATGATGTGTCCTGTATTAAATCTATTCCCTTGCAGACCCTGACTACATAACCTAAGAGGCTCTATTTATAATCTTATTGGTTGATCATAGTTCTGACCCACACTGTACTCACCTCGTGATTTTGTTCTCTAAAATTTCATCTGTGAAGTAGCATCCATGACAATCCACTTTTGGGTCCCCTCTATCTCTTGGAGCTATCTCTCTCAATAAATGTTTCCTATCTGGTTGTTCCTAAGACTTCATTTCCAGATTTTGGGGAACATGAACTTGGCATATCTAACATCTAACAGATTGACAGGTATATTATGTCCCCTATATCAAAATGTTTATTGATTATGTTCAGTGTGTCAAATGTTATTCCTTAAATTTAATGATTATTATTATTATTATTATTTTTTTTTTTTTTTGGTCAAAACTGGGGATTGAACTCAGGCTCTTGCGCTTGGCCAGGGAAGCGCTTATTCCACTGAGCCATCTCCCCAGCCCCTAATTTAATGATTAGCAAAGTGGGCCTGATGGCATATGCCTATCATCTCAGCACTTGGGAGGCTCCAAGAGTTCAAGGCCTGCCAGCCTAGGCTACATATTGAGTTCAAGTCTTAAAAAACAAAATTCAGGGCCAGGGACATAGCTCAGTGGCTTGTACCAGAGTTCAATCTCTGGTACCAAAAAAAGAAAAAAAAAACAAAAAAAAAAACACAAAAAAACCAAAACCAAGAATCAATGGTGAACAACAGGGTGCTTGTTACAGGGAGGGGCAACCAAAAAAGTAAACAGTGAAGGTAGCTGCAGATTTGTGATATGAAAGAAACAGGAAAGAGCTGAGGATGGGGCTGGTGAGATGGCTCAGTGGTCTAAAGCACCTACTTAGAACAAGCTTAGCAAAGCACAGGGACCGCCGTTTGATCCCCCAGCACCACATGCCAGCCAGCCCCGCCCCCTGGTGGGCTGAGCTGGCCCCACCCACACACAAATAAATTAATTAATTAAAACAAAAAAAACAGCTGAGGATGTAACTGAGCAGGTGGGATGTTTGCCTATTGGGCTCTGGGTTGAGGGGGAGCAGTAATGCAATAAGATTTTTTAATTTTTAATATCTAAAATAGAGAGTTGTGTAGAAAGGCCCTACTGAACAAGGTTTTTGCCCAGGTAAGTACTTTCTGGTGGCAAATAACAGACCCAGACAAACTCCTTTAAGCAGTGGAAGAAAGTACCAGTCGGGTGGTATTTCAGCCACTTGTTCAATGGTGTGAACAGTCTCATGCATAATAAGTGTCCTATAGATATGAACAGGACTCGGTACATAATTTGTGAGGCTCAGAGCAAAATAGAAATGCAGAGTCCTTGTTCAAATTTATTCAGGATTTCAAGAGCTAGGGATGTACTCAGCAGTAGAGTGTGTGCTTAGCATGCACAAAGCCCTGATTTCAGTCCCCAGCACTTGAAAAAAAAAAAAAAAAAAGTCTGACAGAAGACAACAGAGTACTATGCCAAGTGCAGGGTGCGGCTGAGCTTGGACCCAGACCCACCACGCAGGTAGCACATCCGTGAAGCCAGCCCTAAATGTGAACACTTACGATCATCCATGGTGACTCAGGATACCTCAGAAATGCTAGAACCCAGGGAGGTGTAGGATACCAGAATCTTGAAGGAGACCATGTGAGAAGAGCAGAGAAAGCGAGCACCTTTTGGCCAGCTGGGGGTTGAGCTGGGCAATTTACCCCACTGTAAATGTGCTTGGGGCTGGGAGAGGGGCAGATATTCTCAGGAATTTGGGAGGTATGAAATTCCTTCACAAAAGCACCGTGCAACATGGTAAGAACACCGCACTTAAATCCAAGAGCAACGCATACCAGGGCTGGTAGTTGTTTCCAAGGCTGCAGTGCTAACCCTCACCAGCACTATAGCTCCGCTTGACAAAATTATATTTTACTGGGATTTATGTCAGAAAACCACTTTACTGTTGTCAGAATGGCACAAAAATGAAAAGTAGCCAACTACGCACATTCTTCGTCTGGAAAACGTTCTGTTTTGATTTGTGGGTAAAGATCCAGGGACTCCACTCAGTGAGCCATGCAGCTAGAGGCTCCTGGAGAGGAGGCCCACAAGGATGAATTCTGTGGGTTCGACCAGTGGAATGGCTGGGTGTGGTGGCTCACGCCTGTAATCCCAACGCCAGGGAGGCAGAGGCAGGAGTATCACTGTGAGTCTGA